TGATTTTGGATTAACTGAGCACGTTTCTTGATCCATGGTGCTCTATATTCTTCGTATCCTTGATCTATGCTTCTCTAAATGTTTTTTTTTTTTATTCGCACTATACTGCTCAAGTATTTTTCCTTTTCGTACGCTATTATTTGTGTATGCATGGTTGTCTATTTTCATAATGCTGATCCAGTGTTATGTTTATGTTTTTTTCTTGTTCTTGTTTAACAGTTGTCAGCTTTTTTTTTTTTTTTTTAACTTATTCATAATCCATTATGAGAAATATTAAATCAAAAGTCTTTATTTTCGTCTTCAGTGCACGTGAATGTGTCCTTTATAGACGTCAAGACGTTATGCAAGAAAGTTTTTCTCTTGACAGTAAAGTTAACAAATTGAAGCCTTCTGAAATCCCATAAAGGTTAAAACAAACGTCTCTGATATCAAGTGTTATACACTCGTAAAGCCGGATGTGTCAACGAAATCCTTGTCGATACGATTAACCTCGAAGAAATATATCTCACACAAAAGAGTTCCCGGTTATACTTTTAATCTGTTCTAAGTCGGTGATTACTGATCCACTAACAGTCATGGTAGATCCTGTACCGATATTTGTTATCACAAGACTGCTGTATGTGTTTTATTGATTACGTCTCGAAGAGGAAAAGAGCCTTAGGGGGTTTATTGTTTATTACTTCGTATATTTTTATCCCAAAAAGGAATATACAACCTAAAACAACTCAAACGTGTTGTTCCTATATTGATGATTTTCAAGTTTAATTACTTGTTATAATACTTAGGATTCTTTCATTCCTAGATATTAGTTACCACAGACTGACTGAAGGATGCAAAACATAACATGCTTTTAAATGTTTACTATTCTGTACGAATACTAACTAGACATGGAAAGAATATTAACTCCGGCCACATCCAAGTCGATAATATGAAAATCAAACGAACGGAAACATATAAGTACTTTGATGCAAACTTCAACTGTTCCAACATGCAGTGAGAAAAAATACAATCTAGAATACAATCTAGAAATAAAGTATACTATGCCCTTCAACATCTGCTAAAGTCAAAGTATCTGTCTCCTAACACCAAGATCAAAATATAAAAATCGTTGATAAAGCTAGAAATTTTTTATGGCTCTGAAACTTGAAGCAGAAATGAAAAAGATGAGGCCTTATTACTGATTTTCAAAAACAGTCTTACGAAAAATCTTTGGACCAATCAAAGATGCTAACAGCGAGGAATGGAGAGTGAGAA